CGGCACGGCCGTGGCGCCGGCGGATCCCAATGCCCTCCCCGCTGCTCCAGACGCTTGCACTCGGCTTCTGTCTTTGCCGCCTAAGACCCCCCCCTCTCCCAACTCCTCCTGCGACAAAGGAATCAGGGGTCTCAGTTTGGTCTCAGGGCTTCTGCTCCTGGCAGCTCACAGACTAAAGGACCAATGGGAACTCGCTTTGTCTGCCCAGGAGAGAACCCGACGCCCTTGGGCCAGAGACCGGAGGGACAGGATGGCCGGACTCAATGTCCCCTGTAGATAGATTTTGAAAATGCTTCAATAATTCATCTCTAGCTGGGACTCTGCCCCTTCCTCTCCTTGGGCTCAAGGGGGCGGGGCGCTGCACACGCTGCCCTGGAGAGAAGCCCCTGGCACGCTGGGACTGGAGGCTAACCCGTGTCCTACCTTCCGGGGGTATTTTCTTCAGCGGGGCCGAGGGGGGTGGCAAGGGCACCAGGGAGGTCGCGCGGAACCCGGCGGGGAGCGTCTCGGCGGAGCTGCTGAGCATGTTGATGCTGTGCACGTCCCGAGGGCGGAAGCGCTTTCTCCAGGACGGGGTGCGCCGGAAGGCCTTGTCCTCGCCCTGCAAGGGAAGGGCGCTGGTTACGCCTTTCGCAGCCAGACGTGCAGCACCGTGCGCGGCCTTCTGCATGGGTGGAGGAGGGGAGAGCACAGTGTGGGGGAGGGAGAGCGAACCTGCCTGCCACACAGTACAGGTGTGGGGAAGAGGCTCAGATGCCTGCAGTACAGTGCAGGGGCAGGGCTGGGCTCAGCCACACGGCTAGCGGTGTCCTTCCCCCCCCCCCTCCGCTGGGAGGTTCTCCGGCCGCTCGCACTCCTGGCCCTTCCTTGGTTATCCCACTCCGAACGGCAGCTGAACCATCGCTGTGGGCTGAGCCACGCAGGAGGGAAGGGATACAAACAGCCCCAGGGCAGCGTTCCACATCAACATGGCCCAGCTCTCCGAAAGTGGCTTTCAGGCTTGTCCATGCAAACAGGGCCTCTCAGGAACCCTAGTCCCAATGAACTTTTAGAAGTGCATTTGTTAAACCTCGGTGTGGCCTTGGGCCTGAATTAAACTAAGAGCACTTTAACCCTTCTGCCGATATGCTCATTCAGAATTAATGTGATTTAACTAATCCAGTTTAAAAATGAAATCACATTCGTTTTCCATGTAGACAAGCCTTTAATTCACTTTGATTCAATGTACTTCCGCAGTGGGATAATTATTCTGCAATAAAATCCCTTTTATTCCAAACCAGAGCATCTGGAATTCTGGCGCTGTTCCAGAATGACTCTTTTAGCCAATTTTCCCATGTAGACACTCTTACTCCGTAGCACACTAGAGTTTGACTTTCACCACACACTTAGCTTTTTCTCTCAGGTCTCGTTGCTCTAGGAGGTTTGTCCAGCCTATGCTGGGATTGTCACCAAGATTTAAGGAGCTTGGAATAGCTGAGATTTAGGCGGGATCAGAACTTTGACGCGAGAAGTGTTTTTTATGGGAAAACGGAGTGGTTGGTTTTTTTGCAACAAGTGTTTGCTTTCCACGGAAACATTCGATTTTTAATTGAGACACCGAACGCCCCCAAATTGAAACAATTCCTCTGAAAATGGAAATATTTTTATTTGGCACTGGTGCTGCAATGCCTTATGGGAACTGTAGTTCAGTAGCCTCATGTCTCCATTCGGCTCTATGGTGCCAGGCTGTCCGGCAGACTACATCTCCCGAAATGCACCGCAGCCAGGGACTCCCATAATGCACCACTTCTTGCTAGGAGACGAGACCATGGTGCACCATATCCGACACAGCTACACGCCATGACTTTGAGGAGAATGCAGGAAGTCCCCAAGCTCTAACTCTCAGGGGCATGACGGCATTTCCAATCCAAATATGCCGTGAGGGCAGGGGGCTGGCTTTGGTGCCCTCTCGAGGTCCCTTCCAGTTCTAGTGTTCTAGGATTCCATTTCAATATTCTAATTTTCACCAAAAACCTGAAATTTTCCAGGGGAGGGGGGGGAATCATTTTCTGGCTGGCTCTGATTTAATTATCCTAACCGCCGGTTGACCTGTTTGTATCATGTTGGTCCCTTGCACGCTCCCACCGGCGGTCATGCTTGGTGTAGAAAGGGGGCTGGGATACGGCTGCAAAGGACTCTGGGAAATGGGATGGCGCCATGAGGTGTGAGGGGAAAGCTGAGGAACCCTGTTTTAGAGGGGTTGCTCAGGCCCCTGGCACCACCGAACTGTTGGAGGGCGTCCTGGCATACGGGGCAGGCTGGTCCCTCCCAGCTTAGCGAGGTAGAACATGGGACCTACGTGTCTGAAATCAGACCCACCTCTGGTCTGTCAGGGCAGTGGCGGCCGAAAGCCCAGACAGGCCCATGCCCATCGCTAGGCAGGGCTGTGCAGGCGAGTTCCCAGAATGAACCAAGTCCCCTGAGCATGGGGCACCATCCCGGCCTGCATGCCTTGGTGCGAACCTCAATCGCGGCTTGGGGAACGGAGCACAGCAGGCCTGAGCCGGTGCCTTTTCCCGAGCATGGGAAACGGAGGGGCGTGTGCGGGTGGCGAGTTGCTGGAGAGGGAGGCTTGTTCCAAGTCTCAGTGTGCCGGTGGCAGGGTGGAACGGCTGCCGTTTATTTACCACAGAGCGGGCTTTTCTGCAGGGTGTTTTTAGCCACATCCTGGTCACCTGGGGGTTGATTTTCAAAAGCACAAATTGCACCCGACTCCCCTCGACTTGAAGAGTTAAGCACGTAACTGCCCCCTAGGCCTCTGGAAATCTTCCCTGGTCGGGGGCCTGGCTGCTCTTTTTATTCTGTATCAAGTGACATAAATGCACGGAATTATCTCCCTTTGTCCCTTGGCTGCCTCTCAGCCTGGCCGCCTTGGAAGTCATCTGACAAACAGGAGCAGTGCAAAACGGCTTTGACTTATTCGACTGCCAGCTCTGTGGGGCAGAGACTGCCTTTTGTTCAGTGTCTGTGCAGCGCCTAGCACAAAGGGGCCCTGGCTCCCAGGTGCCACCATAATACACATTAAAGATGCTACATTCTGGGTGACTGACTAATCGAACAGTCGATGCATTTTGGAGGTGCGGAGATCTTTGGAAAATCAGGCCCTGAGTGCCAAGGCGAGCCAGGGCTGCCTACCTGCCATAGAAAAAGTGATTCGCCCGCCCCGCTCAAAGGCTCTGAGCCGCAATGAACGTCCGTTCTGTGCCTGGGATATCTAAAGTGCCGGTGGCTTGCAAAGCGTTAATACACATCCCCCTCCCTCCCCCCCCCCCCGCCCACAGTGGGCTGGTGGCTGCCACGCTTCGTGGGATTCAGT